CTTGGTTATTTGCAATTTCTTTTGGTGGCTTTGGCACGAAAGGTATGAGAACAAAAGTTTTAGTATTGTCATATCCCAACATCGTCGTTTACGACATTGGAGGGAATCAACTTCTATTTCTTTTTCTTCTTTCACTGGTTGTGTATTGATTCCCATATTCTCCATGTTAAGAATTTCATCTTTTTCCTTGGATGCTCTTAGTTTTGTGCCTGTGTTTAGGCGTCCGCCTCCTATTGGGTGGATTAAGATTAACACAGACGAGTCTTGTAAACGGAATGGTTAGGTGGGTAGCGGTGGTGTTTTTCGTGACTCAAATGGTCTTTTTTTTAAAAGCATTTGCCTCCTCGTCTTCTTATCCAAGGGTAGTTGTTGCAGGGATTGTGGCTGTGATTGAGGCAATTCAGATTGCATGGGATAAAGAATAGCATAACATTTGGTTAAAGACAGATTCTGTGCATGTCCTCAGCCTACTATCAACTCACTCGATGCATGTTCCATGGTTTCTTAAAGTTTCTTGGGCAAATTGTTTATGGCATATTGCTCGCTAACACTTGCGTTTTTCACATATTTTCAGGGAAGGGAATTGTTTGGCAGATGCTTTTGCTAATTTTGGTGCAATAAATAGTAATTTTACGTGGTGAGACTTGGTACCCGATTTTACTGATGAGTCTTATAGAAGAGATTGTGTCAGGCTTCTGTTCTTCCGTTCAAGGTCATGATGAGAAAATTGTTGTTGTGGAAGTGGATTTTGGCAATGAAATATAAGCAGCAGAAGTATGGGAAATCAATTTCAGGTGGCTGAAGCTGAAGAAGTCTTAAACTAGACCATATCATTTTCGTTAATTGCTTTTAGCGGGTATTGGGTTAGTCCCCCCGCTTGTTGTACTTTTTTTTTTCTTCATATTATTAATAAAATCTAGTAAGGGGACGGGCAAGGGGTTTCTGGGTGCAATGGTCCTTTTCTCCTTTGGGAGAGGGTTGGTGCCTTGCACACGACTGTTAACGAAGAGCTAATCTTGCCTAATCCATCTCTACAAAAAATTAAAAAAATAAATAGTTGAAGAAAATAAATAATGCATTAAAAGTGATTTTAGAATTTTTTATTTTTTATTTTTTTAACCTAATAAGGTCAAAATTATCATTGCATAGTAGGGTACATAAGTTATTTAATTAACATTAAATTTTAATGTGGAGTGCATTTAACATTATATGGGGTGTTAATATAAAAAGCCTTTCAAATTTCACTGCAAAGTTTCAGATTTCAAGTTTTAATCCTAACCTTGAGGACAAGGTTGTTGTTCAAGGAGGGGGCAATGTTATGATCTGTGATTGCCTTAATCACAATTAGAATTTAGTTGTTACTTGGTTTTAGTCAATTTGTTAGAAAAAGTCAGCTGGCAAAAGTGTGTGGAAGCCAGTATATGAAGCAAGAAGTGAACGGAGTTTGTATCAGATCAAATTACAGAATAGAAATCAATACAAAAAAATACATTGGAGCACTGCCTCCTTCTCTCTTCCTTCCCTCTTCTTCCATAGCCATTCTTGTGCTAATTGCAGGTTGAATAAGGTTTCATTAACATAGGTTCCTTACAGAATTGAGAGGATTGCCAGTATGCTAAGACCCATTAACTCCTAACTTGCCTATTGATATGTTGGAAGCGCCATTCACATTAGGTGAGAATTTTGAAGTAAGATGGTGCTCTTCTCGTTCTTGAAGAAGTTTCCCTCCCATGCCCATGCCCTAGGTAGGTAGATGGAAAGATTAAATGGTTTCTCTTCTGCCCTATGTAAATAAAACCGCTCAAATAGACAATGCAATGATGATATATAGGAAGGAGGTTTGCCGTTTGAGAAGAGTGGCATAAAGGGAAAATGATATGGACTGGGATTCACCATGAGCTCCAAATTCGGTATTATAAAAAGTTTGGCACAGTAATAGTAATAGATTTGTCATACTAAAAGTATGGTATGGTAATTGAATGAGAGTTTTGGTATGAGAACCGTAACAAACCCACCCTTAAATATATGGGGTAAACTAAGACATAACAGGGTGGGAATAAAGTTAAATTTTGTATAAAGTACAATAGGCATAGCAAAAAATCACAGGTCCAAATTTTACTTTTTTTATTGAAGCCTTACCTGCATGTAATGTTAAAATACCTCCAATATTATAAAAAAAAATTTAAAAAAAAAACCGAAAACAAAAACCTCCCACTCCCCCACGTGCTCTCCCTCTCTCCCTCTCTCCTTCTCATTTTCTAAAAAAAATGTGTTCTACACACGAAATGTGTAGACAAATGCTAGTTTCTTGTAAAAGAACCCTATATGATGGACACAAAACAATATTAATTTTCTCCAATTAATTATAACTGGAGTCCAAATATGTAACATGAAAGAAAAATTGATATAAATATACAGTATTCAGGGTTTAGGAAAATATGTATATATAATTTTGGGAACAGTCTTAGTCAAAAATCTTAGATAGGGACCATAATGCTAAGATTAAAATTTAAAAAACAGTATTCAAGGTTTTTGAACATTAATCCTTGCAAAAGATTAAAATTTAAAAAAAAAACCTGGTGCTAGATTAAATATTCAATTTAATCCCTTGAGTGTACTTTTATCAAAATTTACATTCAATTTTTGTTATTTAATGTGTATTTTTATTTAATCTCTCCATATTAAATTTTAATTTTATTAATATGCACATATTTAGTTTTTTTTTAATTAGAAATGAATGTAAATGAGAAAATATTAAAAAACAATTGTGATACAAAAATATATAAACAAATAAGTGTTCATAAATGATTGTGCCAAAATATATAAAATTTACTTTTTGTACTGAAATATTTGTACCTACATGATTGTACCGAAATATATTATAATGAACCTAAATGTATGTACCGAAATGTATTATATTGAATTAATGTACCTAAATGTCAATACCGAAATGTATGTACCTAAATGTCAATACCGAAAATGTATGTACCTAAATATCAATACCAAAATGTATGTACCTAAATGTATTTACTGAAATATAATAATTGAATTAATGTACCTAAAAGTCAATACTCAAATGTGTGTACCAAAGTGTACGTAACGAAATACATTATATTGACCGAAATGCATTATATTGAATCAATGTAACTACATGTTTGTACCGATGGATATACCAAAATATTCAAATGTATTAATGTACCTAAATAAAGAACATACAAAATTGTCATCGGAATATATATTATAAAAAAATTAGTTGCCTAAATGTAGACATTAAAATATATTATGATGAATGAAATAAAAATTAAATTTAAATGTAATTAATACATTAAAATAAAAATAAAAGGATAAAATAAAACATCAAAATACAACTAATAAATGATATGATTAAATGTGCTAGGGACTAAAATTGGATTTTAATCGTACATATGGTTATAATCTAAAACTCATCTTTTTTAAGGATTAAAATGAAGTTTTCTAAATTTTTTTTAACCCTTGAAAATAGCATTTTTCTAAATTATACTTGAAACAAAAAACTCAACTGTCAATATACATGTGCACAGAAAATATGAAGAGAGATCATGAATTCGATAACTATGAGAGCTAAACCCGCTCACGTCTTTTCGCCAGTAAGCGATGGAGCAATTCATACATGGTTTATTTGGCATTCGTCACGCATAACATACAAAGTGGATAAGTTCTTTGCAAGTAAAGGCCAAATGTCTGTCAGTTTGTCAAGAGTAAAGTGACATATCAGTTCAGAATTTCAGATTCTAGTGAAGCAAATTTAACCATGCAATTGCCAGGTATAGCAGAAACAACCACCTCCTCATGCTACTTGGCACAGAGAGATCGACGAACCGCCCTGCGTCTCAAAGCCCACCGATCTCTGAGAAAGAATTTGCAGAATATGGATACACCGTAAAATAACGTCTTCCGTGCCAATAATGTAAATGGATACTTTGGATGCGGCCCTTAATCCTTAACATTCTTTGTACATTAATAAAGAAGAATGGGTACATTAAAAATAAATTAGGGTACAAATAAAAGATTAAAAATTATGAATACAAACGAATTTTTAAAAATATAGGCGCTAAAAGAAATTAATACATGGGTACAAAATATAACTAAAAAAAAATTACTACAAATTTAAAAAAAAAATATTGCAAATTAAAAGTGGGTACACATATACAAAGTTTTTGATTAAAACATAAATATACCATATGTAATTTTTCTATCATTGATTAAATATCACGTGACAGTATACATATGGGTAGAAACACCCATAAAACTTTAAAAAATATGAGCACAAAAAGAAACTAATATATGGGTACAAATTAAAAATAAAAAGAAAATTGGTACAAATTAAAAAATATTTTCAAATTAAAAATAGCTACAAACTAAAAATAAAAATATATGATAAAAAATTTAGCCATAAATATAAATATACTAATTGTAACATTTTTAACGTTAAAAGAATATATTTAAAAATAAAAATATTTTATTATTCAAATAATTAATGATGTTATTAATAAGGACCTTGATCAAAAATTGAAAATGAATAGGATTTTAATCAATGGAGTAACAAAAAGAAGATTGTGAACCTAATTTTCCCTAATGTAAAATATGTGAAGAAAAGTTAAACGCGTCATTTACTAGTGGCACATGAATGTACAGTAACAATATACCGGTGCCATAAATTTTTCTCTCAACAAAATTATAAGCTGAAAATTGCTAAAATACAGCCTCATAGTTCCTAGATAAGAGAATTAGCGGTCTAGGGCTTAATTAAGTTGGCTAGAATAGTATACTCTCCTTCTTGTTTAGGGTTTGTGAATCATCAAGGTTCGAACTTCCTTCTCGTTGAATAAATAAATTTGATGTAATATATGAAAGAAAGAGATATGCCAGCTAATTACAAAGGGCTTACTTCCCACTTACATCAGATTTAGAGAATTTATGTACCTCTACATAAAAGACCAGAAAATATTAAGCATGCAAACTTAAAAGAAAGGTACAGCAGAAGAAAACAACATGACCATCATAACAGGAAGGAAGATCAAGAAAGGAGATGAACTAGCTGCATGGTTGTCATCAGGGTAAGGCACATATCCTCCTGGTGGAGAAGGGTATTGAGGATTTTGAGGATATTGCTGGCAGCACTGACCAGGCTGAGTTGGGGGGCATTTTCCTTGACCACTTGGCGGCGGCGGCGGTACTCCTTCGTAAGGGAAGCCAGGACTTGATGGGGGTGGCGGTCCAGGTGGAGGAGGGCCATATAAAGGGTACCCTGGAATTGGTACGGCGGGAGGACACAGACATGAAGGGCAGTTGGCACAATTATCAGTAGGGGAAGGATTCGCATTTCTGGTAACCTCTTCAGCAGCAACAGGAAGGTTGAAGAAGATAGGGAGAGAAAGTGCTGTGACAAACGCAAGTTTTGCAGGAAACATTCTTCCTTCTCCTTGTGGCTAGCGAGAAAGAGAAATGAAAAGAAAATAAGGGATATATATATATATATATATATATATATATATATATATATATATATATATATGTGTGTGTGTGTGTGTGTGTGTGTGGTTAGATCATTATTGTAAATTGAAATATAGAGAAGCATGCACCAGCTTTCAACTGTGGTTTTCTGAATCCCGGATTTGGTGCCGCATGGACAGACCATCTGTCATAACAGTGCACAAGTAGCATGCAAAGATTTAACTTGCATGCTCATACGGATAGACCTGGCATTGTGTCGTGTTTTCCGTGTTCATATCGTTTTTGTGTTATATCCGATATCTTAATGAGTCGTGTTGTTTCACACCTATTAAAGTAAACGGCTAATATAACCCGATCCAAAATCGACCCATTAATACTATCAGGTAATATGACCTGATCTGACACACCCCGTCCCGAAGGAGGGCATGCTGGCCGTCACGTGAGAGTGACGTAACCATTTGCACAGTACGGAAGCTTTAATTATACAATTTATAAGTTGATACACCCGAAGGTGAGTCCTAATTTTGTCCAATCTGTCAGAACCCCGCTGTATTCCTCGTAGTCACCACACCTTTGTGATTCCTGAACCTGGAGGGGCGCAAAACCAAAATTGAGTGGGTCAGTAAAACAATTCTTTTCCAAATCCAAACATTTCTCAAAACATTGTAACCCCTCTCCGTAAAACCTGTATACTTTCCCAGAAATGTAAAATATAAATATACATATATATTCTCAAGACTTCAAGTCGTTAACTCAACATTTTCATAACAATTATGTCATGCCACATCATCTCAACATTTCTCATATTAATTATGCCATGCCACATCATCTCAACAATAATAAGGTATGAATACATCAACATAATCATATCAGGTGCAAGAAAGTAATCAACCGTAGGCCCTCTAATAGCCCTATACGGTTGAACCTAGAGCTCAAAATCTATCATTATCACTCTACCGGAGTCACCTCTGTGACCCGTCCGGCCTTCTGCACACAAGTTACACTCTAGTGCTTCTCATAAATCATCTGTGCACATAATCTAAGGTCACCCACCAGTCGGAATCTCACTAACACTCTCGCGACTGGTCTGTCGTACCCACTCCGCGTGGACTGTACGACTAGCATCTACTTGGATCCAAGGCGAGCGTGCGATGCGGTGAATACTATAAGCACTAAACCATGGTGCAGGATTTGAGCTCAATATATATCATCATCATCATAACAGTAATTAAATACTCATCTGTGCGTCCACCGCACCATTTCATACATATGCATCATAAATCAATTCTTACCTGTGCGTCCACCGCACCAATTCATACATATGCATCATATATTAATTCATGCATGGCATTTCAACTCACATTTCTATATACTTTTCATATATCAATTCTATGCATGGTATTTCACTTCCCGTTTTTCCACATAACTCATATGCATTTCATTTTAAACATAATTTCATGCATTTTCAATTTCTGGGAAAACGTTAAGTATATATATATATATATATATACGGAAAACAAAACTGCCCACTCACCTGGAGTTCGCCCTACAACTCCCTAGCACAATACGCCAAGGCGTCATGATGATCGGCGCCTAAAACAATAATCAATTCCAACCTCAGAATTCATATCGATAGAATATATAACTTATATAAAATACGTCACTACGTAGATTGATCCGGAAGATCCACCCCTCAGATTTTAAATCCATAACTTCCAGAGGTCCACATTATACCTCTAGGACAACAACCTAAAATTTCATTACCATCCAACGGTCGGATCTCCGTCAATTTCCAAAACTAAGTGACGGTTAACATTTTTATATTATGGACTTACAATTCCAATTCCGGAAGATCCGTAACTCGGATTCCCAATCCGTAAGTTCCAATAATCCTCAAATATTACGTATTACAACGTATCAAAGTTTGGTGACGATCCAACGGTCGGATCATCAATTCACATTTTCACCTAAATGTGAAAACTATAAAACGTTATTTGAACACCTAACCAACAATCTTCAATAACTTTCTCATACGGTGTTCAATTTAGGTATATGAATATACCACAGTGATCTACTCGACGTCATGGACGTCGACATATTTTTAAAATAATTTTATTTTTATTTTTTATTTTTACTGTAGCACCTTCTTCTTCCTTGGGTCGCCGGACTGGTTTTTCCGGCGGCCGTTTTCTGGGCAGTTTTTCAAATTGCCATAACTTTGTCATTTCTCAACTAAATCAAGTGATTCAAAAACGAAAGTTGTAGCCCTTGAAGAGACAAAGAGAATGGTACCTTGCACAACACCTAGTTCGCCGTGGTTTGGCCGGAAACTGCCTCGAAAGCCTCGGAGGTCGCCGGAAACTGGGTATTTTTCAAATGGGTATAACTTCTTCAATACTCAACGAAATTAAGTGAAACAAAAAGGAAAGTTGTAGTACTTGACGAGACGAAGAGATTTATACCTACCTCGACTCCTAACTCGCCGGGGATTCGCCGGAAAACGCCTCGAAAGCTCCGGCCAAACTTTGAACTTGTCGATCTCCGTGTTCTTACGTCCAAAAACTTCCAACTAAGCACTCCGAGCTTCCTTGGGACCTTACTAAACTCGCTGTGATCTTGTTTTAGCCTAAAACGTAACCAATTCAAAGCTCATGAACAGTGTCATCTCACGGCAACTTTAGAACTAGGGTTTTCGAAGTGAAACTCACCTGAAATTGGTATCCCCGTGCTCGTGAAGTCCCCAGGATCACGATGGTGGTCTTAAATGGAACGTTGGTACAAGATTGTGGTGGTTCTTGGTGGTTGCCGTGAGTTCGAGAGTAAGAGAGAGAATGAGAGAGTTTTCAGAAAAGAATAAGAGAGAGAGAGTCTGGAATGAAAGAAGAAGAGAGAAGAAAGGTTACGGGTTTTAGGGAGGGAATTCAGGGTAGGAGGCCCTACCTAAGTCCAAGCACAAATTAACACATACAAATATAAATCTAACCCTAGTTTAGGATCTTAAAGTAAAACAAATGTCATACATTTACACACTTTAATCCCGTTTAAGGTCACATTGGTCATCTCACGTCCTCGGAATTAATAATTCCGGGACGGGCTGTGACATGATCTGTTACCCGTTAAGGAAAATATATTTTAAATCAATAAATAATGAAAATAAAAAACATAATTCGACCAAAAAAAAACATAATATTAAATTAGTATATGCATACCATATTGTCACATAAATATTACTTCAAAACAAAAAAAAAATAAAAAAAATATTTGTCTTTCAAGTATTACATACTCCAAAATAAGAGCCTGATGAAAAAACATTAGTACATTACAATATCAAATGTTCAAGGATATGCAAAATGAAGGGAGTTGCATTTCAAGGTGGAAGAACCTTGCACGTTTATATATGTTTTCACATATTTTAGAATTGTACATTAATGATTTTGAATTTTATTTATTTTGAACTCCCTTAAAAATAATATTTATGAGGATATTCAAACAACGATGGACCCATACTCATAGCATAGACGATGCGATTACGAGTCTTTGCATATTTTTCACATTTTTTTGCACTTATAAATTAATTATTATAATTTTTTAATGTGTTTGGTATTTTTAAATTACTTGATACTTTTATTTTTAAGGTGTGTATAATTTTTTTAATCTCACATTTTAATATACTATAAAATAAAATAAATAAGTAAAACTTAAATTTTGTAAATTTATAAAATAATAATACAATAATACATATTTAACATACAATATATACATAAACACTGGCTATTGCATTTTATAGTAAGTTTTTTTAGTAGTTTTAAAAATTAAAATCATCAAAATAACTTTTTTCTTAACGTGTCGAAACAGGTCACCCGAATGTCACCTTCGTGTAAACCTGTTAAGGACCCCGTTATTAACTGGTTCTTATTGTGTGACCCAATTAGTTATTGTATTGACCCAAAACCCATTATTTTCTTGTCATTTAGGTGTTGTGTAAGAAATTGTCAAGTCTACATACGGACAACACAAAAGAAAATGAGAATGGTTTCAATTATACTTATAAATTTAATACTTTAAATATATACTTTATTCGCTAGGGGTGAGATGTGACGACCCGTCCCAAATTATTATATATTTTCTCTCACTGAGAATGTAAGGTGACAATTATGCCCTTGGTGGCTTAGTGACATGGATGTACATATGTAGTTTTAAATTATTTTCAGACCGTCGTAATTAAATTGTACGTGACGTCACGAGCGTGTTGACGCGAGTTAGGGCTGAATCAGATTCGTAACGAAAAAGTGCAATTATTAGAAGAGCGTAAACGGGCCAAAGTAACAACCAATCACCTTAACTCCTACTTTCTTGGGTCCAATTAATTGTTGGGCTTTTATTTGTTTTAGGACCAATTACAAAACCCATTCTTTTCCCTTGTCCAATTAGGAGGAACACACACATTAAAATATAGGAAAACTAATGAAAAGGGCTTGAAAACTTTGAGTTTTAATGATAAGGACAAAATAAAGGGTAAAGTGAATAGTACCAGGATTGACTTTTTAGTGTAAAAATGTGGTTTTTCGTTAAAGTGAACAGTACCGGGTGCTTTTCGTTAAAGTTCCCTTAAAATATCTCACTCTCTCCTTACTAACCAATCACAAACGCACACACACCTTATCTCTCCTCTTTTCTTGATTTTTCTCTCGTCCGTACAACCGAGAGACCATCACCTACAATCTTAACCAAATCGACACAGATCGAGTTATTGAAGTCCATCATTGTATTCCTTGTGACCTCACGAGTTGAGTGATACCTTTTGGCCGTTGAACGGATCACGGGAACCCAAGAACTCACGAACTCCAGGGAGGTGTTTGTTGCCCCGTCATGATCAAGGCCCTTTTCCAAGGTTTTAATGCTCGGGGAGGTTCCTAAACAACTCCATAGGAACCTTAGAGTGGATTTCGAACAAAGT